GATAGGGAAGGGAGAGGGAAGGGAGAGGGAAGGGAGAGGGATTGAAGAGGGAAGGGAGAGGGATTGAAGAGGGAAGAGAGAGGGATTAAAGAGGGAGGGGAGAGGAATGAGATGGGGAAGGGAGAGGGATTGAAGAGGGAAGGGAGAGGGACTGAAGAGGGAAGGGAGAGGGATTGAAGAGGGAAGGGAGAGGGAAGGGAGGGGGATTGAAGAGGGAAGGGAGAGGGACTGAAGAGGGGAGGGAGAAAGATGAAAGAGGGAGAGTGAGAGGAGAGGAAGGAGATGATGTAAGGCTCGAGTGGATAGGCTCAACACAAAGATTGTTTCAGAGAACGCGAGAATCAATTATATGGATACATAATAATAATAATAACAATGATGATGATATAATGATGATGATGATGATGAATATGTTCTTAACTTTTTTTAGTTAAATTGCTAACCACCGAACAAACAAACAAAACAACGCTATCAGAAACAGTACCTCCTTGACGAAGGCAATAATAATAACAACAATAATAATAACGATAACAAAAGCAATGAAACATGACAAAAAATATTCATAACAAAAAACGAAACAAGCAACCGTTAATGTCGCTAAGGGAGAGGGGGAGAGGGGGAGAGGGGGAGGGGGGAATCCGGCCCTGCTCCGTCTTCACACTCGACTCAAAAGGGGAAAAGGGCAGAGAAGGTGTCGAATAGCGGCTCTTGAACTCAGCAATGCAACCTGCACTTCGCAAGCTTCGCCCAAGTACTAGCATGTCGAAAAAAAGTGAGGGGAAGGAATGGTGGCTGTGGTGATGGTGGTGATGACAGCGTTAGCGGAATTGTTGATGACGATGGCAACAATATCATGGGTATTTTTTCAGTATGATGTGAATAGATACAAGTTGCAGCATCATGAAATATAATCCTAGACATTGCAATAACAATATCGGTAATAATAGTAACATTAACAATAAGAACAAAACAATAAAGATGCCGATGCTGCTGCTGCTGATGGTGATCTAATAATAAAAACAATAACAACAATAATATTGGGAAAAAGAGTTTTAAATAATCCTGTAATAAATAGTATAGTAAATATAGTCTAAATAATATGAACGATACAAATACAATAACACTAATGTAATATGACTGATGATAGTGATGCGGATAGCATTATCGCTACTAGCACCAGCATAATCATAATCATTCCCGCTGTCATTATTGCCTGTCTCCTCACAACTCTTCGCAGAATCACCATCACCACAATCACGTCAAAATTACTAGCAACATCACTGTCATGATATCGCCACCCCATTTCCATTGCCATTCTTCTTCGCCATTATCATAGCAACAGTAATATTAAAAAATATACACGACAATGGAACAATAAGAAGCCACTGCACGAAGATATGGCGCGAGTGTCCCGGCTGTCGCGCGTGCGTGCGTGAGTGCGTCCATTGTGAGGCAACGTCACTAATCATCTTGAGACGCGGAGGCGGGAGGGACGGGCGGAGGGGGAAGAGGAAGGGGGAGGGGAGGGGAGGGGAAGGACGGAGAGGGAGGGGAGGGGGGTTAAGAAGAAGGGTTGAGGAGTGGGAGAAGAGAGGGGGGTGAGGAGGGAAAGGGGGTCGAAAGGGGTTGAGGAGGGGGGAGGGGAGGAGATCGAAGGGTGGTCGAAAGGGGGGGCTTAAGGGAGAGGAGGGAATTGAAGGGGGCCGAAGGAGTTGAGTGGGGTGAGCTGAAGACTGAGGGAGAGGAAAGGAGCGGAAGGGGTCGAGTGGGAGGGAGAGAAGGGGGGGAGGTTTGAGAGGGAAAATGGAGAAAAATAGAAAAATAAAGAGAAAGAGAAAGAGAGAGAGAGAAAGGAGAAATAGAATAGGACACGAGAAGAGGCCCACCCGAGCGAGGCACCAAGAGGAGTGGAAGAGGCCCGTGCGGCGCTTACTATACATGACTAGTGACCCACAGTCTTGCATGGAGGAAAGTCCCCAAAGACCTATCGATTATCGGCGACAGATATACAGAGGGCGAGTTCTTTTCTGATAACCCGGCTCCCCTTGGCCTCTCCTCCCCCCTCCGCCTCCTTCTTCGTCTCCTCCTTTTACTCCTCTATCTCTACCTCTTCATCTCCTCCCTTGACTCCTCTCTCTCTATCTCTACCTCTCCATCTCCTTCCTTGATTCCTCTCCCATTATCTCTAACTCTTCATCTCATTCCTTCTCTCGCTCTCCCTCCCCCACTCTCTATCTCTCTCTTTGCTTCCTCTTTATCCTCTTCCTTTTCCCTCTCTCTGTTTATTCCCCTCTATTTCTTCCGTTATCATTCTTATTCTCACACTCCTTCATTCCATATTCATTTTTGATCTCTCTCCGTCTGTCCTTTCGCTTTATTTTCATCCCCTTTCCTCATTCAATTTCTCCTGCTTTCTCTTTATCTCCCTTCTCTCCCTCTCCCTCTTTCACTCTTCCCACACCCCGCTTTAGAGCATCTCCTTTCCTCATTTCCTCTCCACCCCCCTCCCTCCCTCCCTGGATAGCGATAGAAGTAACTGATGTCAGCCCTCTAAGAAAGACAGAAAAGAAAAAGAAGAAAACAAGAAAAAAAGGAAAAAGGAAGGCGAAGACAGAAATCAGTCAATGCCCAAGCAGTATGCACTTAAGAATAACGTCTTGAACTAAAGAGAGACATTTTTTAAGCGTGTGTGTGTGTGGGGGGGGGGGGGGAGTGATCTGAGCTCGGGGCAAACTTTAAACTCATTTAGCGAGGAACAGAAGCAAGAGCAGAGGAGGGTGAGAGGAGGAGGGAAGATGAAAAAGAGAGGCAGGTTCAAGAGCGAGGAGAGGCAGGAACGAAGGAGGGAAGGATAGGTAGATGGGTGGAGGGGGGAGGGGAAGAGGGAGTGGAAGCGGGCAAGGGATAGGGAGAAAAGGGAGAGCGAGAGGAAGGGGAGAGCTAAGGGCAAGAGATGCCCCTCCATTAATTAATGCATTGCAAATCACAAGGTGATCAGATGCAGTCCCCAGAACCGGTATATAAAATAAATCTATCAATAAATATCTACAGAGAGAGAGAGAGAGAGAGAGAGAGAGNTGTGTGCTGGCGCGAGCGAGCAGCCAGTAAAAAATATTATTAACTGGGATCGGATCTGTCCATAAATAAAAATGAATTAAAAGGGCTGGGAAGCAGGCATGTGATGGAGAAAGATGTGATAAACGAGAGAAAGGAAGGGAAGAGGGGATGAAAATGATGGTAATAATGAATGAACTCTGTAGTGATGAATCATTTAAAATGCTGGGTAAGTATGCTATAAAGAACAGCAAAGGAATAAGCAAATGCACACAAACATATATAAAAACAGAATAAATATACACGTAAATACACACACAAAAGCTGGAATGTCAAGGATGAATGAAGAAATGATCGAACAATAGATCGAAAAATGACTAGAAAAAACAAAAGGAGAAAAAAAGGATGCAACAAAGAAGAAAAGAACCCGAAAGAGGAGAGGCAGAGAGCAAACGCCGATGATAATGACGACACCAGCGATGAAGAAGATGTAAAGAGGGGGGGGGGGGAGGGGNTGAGGGGAGGAGGAGGAGAACTCCGATGCGCAAAGGTCAGGATAGATTCCTGGCCACACCCTTTGCAACCTTGCAACCGGGCGATGAGAAGAGAGAGAAGAAAGGAGGAGAAGCAATTGGTAGACTGGAATGAGGGAATGGAGGGAGATACGAGGGA